TACATCAATTTAACTCTAAACCTGTTTAATATACGTTGGTTGATTATTAATGCACAATTAAATCTAATATTGGTGATCACTTGAATTTAAATCATATTAGCCTAAATCAAATTATTAATTATCTTATTAGGCGCGATTTCAAGTCCCTTTAAACCTGCAAAAAGAGGCTTGATCAAGAATTAACAATAAATCTTGAATAATCAAGCAACATATGATTAATATCACAACCATCATCATAAGAACATCATCAAAACATCGTTAGAAAGATCTTATGCATGATACTAAATGGATTAATAACAAATCCTAGCATGTCACTAATAACAAAATCAAAGAGTTATCCTAAACATGATACTAGAAACCATAATAACATCCTATACATGATTTCTACTCCAAAATCAAAAGAATAATAAGAAGGGTGATTAAATTACTCACTTTGATACCTCAACCTTCTTGCTATTAAAACAATACACACGTTAGTAACTTCAAGAAAGTTAAATCAATAAAGTAAATAAATCAAATATGAATTAAAATATAGATTTGGGTCCAAACCCTCAGAACTATCAACCTTTCACGTCGAGGTCGAAGGCAACGTCGAGTATGGTTTGGAGTCTTCAAATCACACAAAGGAAGTATTGTGTTTGATTTGGGGTGTATCAAGATATGTTTAGGCTAAAGCTAAAAGCATGGATGTTTGATAATTGATGATAGGTGTTTGATAAGGAGTGTTGATGATGATTGGTAGGTAGTTATAGCTAATTGTGGCTTATGGTTGATGGCTATAGCTCAAGATTATAATGGTTGTGACTAGATGGTTCTAGCTTATTTATGGTTATCGTCCCTAATCTGGAATGGGGAAAACGACTTCTATTTATAAGTAAAAAATAGAGTCTGGACGATCAGAAAAGATCAGAAGTTCTAAATAAAATAGAACAGCTTTTGACGCGACGCGATAGAATTGTCGCACCACAAGGGAAGCTAACGCGCCGTGTCAGGATTAGTGCTGTGCGACGGTCCTGACGTTGCACGCTGGTTCCAAAAGTTATTAAAGCCATACGGAGTTTGATTTCTAATGGAATTATGTTTGCAGAAGATATCCGAACGTCTTTGTATTCGAATAGAATAAGGATTATCAAACGGAGAAGTTTTATCCAATCTCAAACATCTTCGATCTTTTTCTTTTCGAGAAGGATAAATTAGAACCTTCTAGGGGATTCTAGAAGTTCCTAACTGATTTAGGATTGGGAGTATGATCACGTAGGGCCTAAATAAGATATTTGGACTCCATATAACAATTGGGTCGTACTAAAGATGGACCTAGGCTCGGTATAGACTCGGTTTAGTATTTTGGTCATATCTCACTCGTTTTAAGTCGGATTTGGGCTTATAATATATCGTTGAAATTCTCATTTCAAACCCCATCCAATTGAGATTATGGACCAAAATAATCTAGTTTGGACGTTTTTATAATTTGGGCAAGAAATGGATGACTTTGGGTTCAAGGACACGAAATGAACGATTTCATTTTAGGTAAGATTAGGAAGATGGTCAAGGCTTAAGAAAACTTTGCGATACTCTTCAACTCTTCACCGAACTCGTTAATCAAAACGTGAAAGGTACTTGTCACTGGGTTTGGTTTTTGGGGAGACACAATCAGGTGTCTACACTAATAATACATCAAAATTATCGATGCTACCCTTATAAAAAAAAATAAAAAAATCAAGTGTTTCCCTTCTTTGTCATTAGTTAAATGAAATTCAAAGTTTCCGGCCAAAAAAAAAGTTTTCGACAAACAATAACATTAAAGTTACGAACCAACATTCCGATAATTAGATATGAAGATCAATAAGAGCATCAACATTAAAGAAACAACAAAGATCTACAATCAGTAAACGAGATTACCATAATTAAAAACCAGTACCACAAATTTAGAGGCAAACTACACCATATTCATAATTTCATAGTCATCATTCTATTTAAAAAAAAAATAGAAAAAAAAAATATTATAGCTTTGGTAAAGATATTTACTAATCTAGAAATTCAAAAATAAAATCAGAATTTGAACAAAGTTGGGAACTATTAGTTGATTAGTGTAGGCGTCATTTAAAGCGCGCCTACTTAAGCATGTTGTGAATATGCTTGGCAATCATAGGAAACGGGATTTGACATTATACGATAAGGGACAATAAAAGTAGGGATCCGCCAACAAGCTTTGAAGGAATTGAACTTGTAAACCGTTCACGGATCCTTTAAGACAACACCGATAAGGGACAAATGAAAGGCAACAAACGATTAACCCGTGAAGGTTACACCTCATTCATAATCCATGAGATTACTAACTCCATATGGTTCGGGAACCACGAAAAGAGGATCGAAGATGATGGTATAAAGTGAGTCATGGATCAACTTCACCCGTATTGGCCTCCACTCGATTCTTATAGCGAAAAGTATTTCCTACAGTTTCAAAGGCATACAAACAAGGATTCAAATTGCTCTAAATTAGATTAGGCTAAATTGGTTGAATATTAATGCACACATAATTCTAGATATTAGTGATCACTTCAATTAAAAATAAGATTTAAAAGAAACTTAAACCGATAGTCCAAATGATCTTATTAGTCATGATTTTCAATCACATGTTCCCTTTAAGCATGCAAAAGCTGAGCAATAAAACAATAGAATAAGCAATAATATTTGAAGCAATTTAACCATAAAAAACATAAAAATTAATATATGAAAATCATAATAAGAATTGTTAGTAATATAATAAAAATATAAGGAGCATGATTTCTTACTTTGATTGTGTTTGCTTGCAACTATAAAACAATAAACACGTTAGTAACTTCAAGGAAAATAATAAATACATTGAAAATTAAATTAATTGAAAGTAGAGTTGATTTGGTCCAAACTCTCAAACAATTCTACATTTCACGCCTTGCTTTAAGTACGGAACTTCGAGTATAGTATGGACTCCTTGGAGTGCTTAAGGGAAGTATGATGCCGTTACGAGGACAGTGTTTAATGCATAAGTATAAGGGAGAGAAATGAGAAGAGAAAAGTATGTTTGTTGGTGCCCCGAAACTCATGAATGAGCCTTGTATTTATAGTCTAAAAATGAAGAATGAAGTCCGAAACCCTAGAAATGAGATGCCGCTAAAAACAAATGTACCGTGACGCGATACTTAATTATATATTTTTTAAAAAAGAAAGTGCGTTTTGTAAGAAATTTGGGTATTTGAGTACTGTGTCACATGACTTTGTACCGTGGCGTGGCAGAATTGGCAGATTTTACGCGTTTTAAAATTTCCATAACTTTGATCTGTTATTCAGAATAAGGCATATAATATCTCGTTGGAAAGATCTTTAAGTCTTCTTTCCAACCCAATTAAAATTAGGTTAAAATCTTTTGTAGATTTTAAGATATAGTCGTTTGAGTGAAAAGGTGTCGGTTTTGGGCCGAGTTTTATTTTTTGCTCATATCTTCTTCGTTTTAAATCGGAATTGGGCTTATAATTTATCATTGGAAAGTTTATTTCAAGACCTATCCAACCAAATAATATTTGGATAAAATTTATGCGGCTAAAAAATCAGTTTTGATCAATTTTGGGTTGTGGTCACGAGAAGAGAAAAATGGATTATGGTTTGTGGATTTGGGCTAGGAATTGGGTTGGTTTAGAGAAATGGTTTTAAGCACTCCGCAGATTCAATACGCAACCCGACCAATAACGGCGATGAAAGGTTGTTCATCATCGGGTTTGGATTTGGGGAGACATTTTTAGGTGTCTACAATTAGTAATTTACTTAAAAACTGGAATAATTAATTAGACTAAACAATCTGAAAATTAGCTTAGGCAAAATTATTGATGACGAGCAGGAGGTGAGGAGTACCGCGCTGCCGCCGATGGCAGTGAGGAGTGTTGCCGGAACGCTGGTAAGAAAATGAGCGACTGAGACACCGAGTTAGATGAGAGAATGAGGCAAGATTGAGTGAGAGGCAAGATTGAGTGAGAATCTGAGAGGTGTTCAAAATTAAGTTGTTAGGGTTTATGAAATTATGTGGGTTTTATATTTTGTAAGAAAATAAGTTAAAAAAAACAGATCTATTAATTTTAAAAAAAAAATTACACTACAAATTATAAATTATTTTTCTTCAAAATAAAAATTAGAATATAATAGTTTTTATAAAAAAAATTACTTCCTCCGTTTTTATTTTAAATGTTGCACCACTTGACTTTTAAGTAAGTTTCACAAATATTGCACCATATATATCCATTTTAGGAAAACAAATATTTGTGTACTCACTACAAATACCCTACATATCCTTAATTTTTAACACTTGATTCTATGGATTATGTCTACAATCACATGGACAAATTTCTACTTTTACCTTTCTCTCTCCTCCTTTTTTCCACTACCAAAAAAGTTGCGTCAAACCCTTATGGTGCAATATATATTAAAAGAATGGAGGAAGTATAACATATATGTATATATTATCAGGTGGATGACGAATCAGGTGATAAACGGATGATGGATCGGGTGACGGATGAAACGGAGCCCCACCCGAATCCGACCTGATCCGTCTCCAACTTCATCCGTCACTTGTCCTTCATCCGTTTAATGCGTATTTTTGTCCATTTAATTATATCAAGTGGATCGGGTTAGCGAATATCCGTATACGATTGTCATCCTTAGATGGTTACAATGTAGAATGTATCCATGAGTCCATGACATTCTACACTGCCGAAGTCTAATTTATAAGTCAAATTGGAAAGTGGAAGTGAAACAAATTTATAGAGAAGCAAATTGAGCTGCAACTATGCTATGTTTTATTCCCCCCTAGTGTTTTTTTTTTTTCCTACGGCTTAAATCCTTCATGTGGGCACACACACAATATATATATATATATATATATATCATGTGAGAACCTAGGCCTATAATAGAAATTTGGAACTCATCTGGACCGTAGATCTCGTTCAATCTAACGGCTCATATTCCACCCGTCTCATTAAGGCATTTTTGTAATTTACGCGTTGAATGACCTTCGTCCTAACTCATACGTCGCTTCATTTTCTTTCTCCCTCTTCTTCTGCATTTTCTCTCTCCTCCTGCAAATTCTCTATTTCGATTTCTCTAATCTCGTCGCATGTCATCAATTTTGCAAATTCTCATCTCTGATTATTATCGTTGCTTAGGAAAATTAATGGGCAGGTAAGTTGATTTATTTTCATTTTTGTTGTTGCTTTGATTCAATTCGATTTTGAAACAAGTTTTTGCGAATTTGATTGCGAAAATTAGGGTTTTCCCAATTATTTGTTTTAGTATTTGTGATTATAGTTCATTATTTAGGGATTTTGCAATAAATGTTTGCATATTTGCAATTTAGATTGTTGAAATTAAGGTTCATTTTTGATAATTTTTGTTCGCTTATTTTAATCAGATTTATGATTCCATATTGTTTTGGTAGTAATTTTATGTTCTATTGTTATTTGGTTGTGATAATTATAATTCGTTTGATATAGTTGATACATTTTATTTGCTAAATTTGCAGCATTCTGGTTGATTTTTTTTTTTTTTTTTTTTTTTTCTGAAGTAATTTGATATTGGTGCTTGATTGTGGCTTTCAGATCTAGATTTGGTTAGGGCTATAATGAGGTGTTCAATCATTCTATAATCCGGGAATTCAAGGAAGCTAAGGTACAATCGGCTTCTGTAGTAATTTGAAAGCTATAATTGCTCATTACAAAGGTCAGGTCCTTACTTAGAGGAAGGTAAGCTAACATCCTTCACTTCCTCACGTGGCCTAAACAATTTACTTTTGAGCTTATATTTTTTACTTTTGAGTTGATGATAATGATTGAGTTTTGTATTTAATTTGGTTGTGTCTTGCTGCAACCAACATTGTTGTTGAAGTGCAACTGTGCAAGCAACATAGTAGAGTATCTGATTGTACAGTCTGCAAAAATTCTGTTAGCTATTATTCGTAGAGTATCTGATAAAAGGTCTTTAAAACAGATTGGCAGTCCTCATTTGGTGCAATTCATTAACGACTTGCATAATAAACCTTAGTTTATACTTTTATCACTGTATGTAGCTTGGAAAGTGGCTTAGTTGTTTACGCACCTCTGTGGTAACTGGTAAGTGTACTGAACATGCTTATGGTATTGGTTGTTCACAATCCCTTTTGTTTCCTTTATTTTATTTTAGCTTCCAATTGTTATGAGGTACTCTTTTGAAACGTCTGTTAAGCAATACAACGTTTTTTTAATATTTCTTATTCGGTTATACATACAGATGTTACGTTGATATATCATGTCAGTTGTGTATCTAATGCAAGAATCAAATTAATACATGTATGTGTTAACATTATATTACAAGGCATTTATCAAAGAACATGAGAGTATGTTTCCGTTTAGATTAGATTCTCTTTAACTGTCCTTTACTTCAATGGATCTCTATAAACTTGCCCCCGGCCTTGGTTTTTTTCTAGCATGGGCTTGTTTGGGAACAATAAGAAGAAGTTTCTGATTTTGATCACATTTGTTATACCATCAGAGTTGGCCTTGTTCAAGGTGTATGGATGGTGGGAGTGATTGATGAACTCCGGATGCCTGATAATGGGGAAGGAAGAAAGTTAACATTAGTTGATACAAAGACGCGTGGTCAACCAAGGCTCCCTGCTGAACCACAATGCAGAAATGGAAGGTATTTTCTAAGATATGACACAAGGCCATACTTATATTAGCTTGTTAGTTTGACAATACCCTTCTTTTATTTACTTCTTTTTTTTTTTTTTAAATTCTTTCAGGCTACAATTGAAGTTCTATAAGCATTTGTGGGACAATATGGTTTCTAATAACTTCCCTTCTAAACAATTTTATGAACATTTTTCCATGGACCCTCAACACAAATTATCTGATGAAGTGAAGATGAATGCCGCTGATTCAGGTTTCCCTGCTGAGGTATGATTAGGATTTTCCTGTTTAAAGTTGAATCACTAATTGATCATTGTCAGAATATAATTATCTTTGGGGGGGGGGGGGGGGGTGGGGGGGACAGTGTTCTTGATTGGAGTAAATATAATTAATTAGTTCAACTTATATTGTATCTACTTTTATTACTTACAAACTCAAGCTCACTTATCCAAGGATTAAAGGTATGATAGAAGGTTCTATCACTTATGCTAGATATTTAAGCATTCATAGCAATTAGAGATTGTCAATAAGCATTTTTTCATAGCAATTTCCTTATTTTAGAAGTAGAGAAGGTGAATTTCATTTCTATTTACTTTAATAAATATTTTATTTACTTTAACTTATTTTGTATCTACTTTTATTACTAGAAACTCAAGGTCACTTATCTAAGGATTAAGGATATAAACATGTTGGTAAACTAATACCCTGCTTTTTCTTTTTAGCAATGTGCACCCTAGACTGAATAGTTGTGAGTAGATATAATTTACTTTTAAATAAATACTATTTACTTTTGATTTACTTTTTAGTTATTTTGATATACTTTTGAGATGTTTTGAATTACTTTAGAATGTTTTGTATTTACTTTTAGAGGTAACCTATGTAGGAATCGAACCTACATCTCTATGCATCCGCATAGTGCTCTACCACTTAAGCTAATAGGTTTACTTTAGAGTCTTTTTTATTCACTTTAAATACTTTTTTATTTACTTTAGACAACTACTATAGGAATCTACATTTTCCAACCTTATTCATCTTTTGTATTTTCAAACCCAATGTAAACCAAGATGAGCTATTAACAGCCACACTAACGTGAGAATTCCCCGCCTTTGCTTTATTGCACGCCATGGAACTTGAGTGAGCAAAGCATAGCAGCATCACATAACAGCTCCACCCCCCTTGCTTGTTATCTCCCATTGAATGTCACCGAATGTTTTTAGATGCTTTGTGAGAAGACAAGCATCTAGAGCAATTCCAGTTCCTGCAATTCAAGTTCACCTCATCTGTTTTTTATTTATTTACTTTTGAGTGTTTTTATTTACTTTTGAATGTTTTTCATTTATTTCAATGCTGTTTAATTTACTTTGAGCGTTTTTCATTTAGTTTTAGAGACAACCTATGTAGGAATTGAACCTACATCCCTATGCATTTGCATAGTGCTCTACCACTTGAGCTAATAGGCTTTAGTACACCTAGTAACAATCTAAAGCATAATCGATAATCTAACTATAGAACAAGCAACTATTACATAATAAGATTATTTCATAGAGCTCATCTCTCAGCAGTCAGCACAGCTATTTTCCTAGATTTACTCTTTTATTTTATTTTCTTTTTACAAAAATCAATTCCAGTTAGCAGTTTTCATTAAAATTTGATAACCATCTCTTGGCAGTAAAAAACTACCAGACAACATTCAATAAGCTATTACTAGTATCAAATCCTAAATAAAGCAAAACCTTGTAAATATGTTAGTAGTTTAGAATATTTGTCAATTATCTTTAAAATTTTAGGTTGAATTATGTTTAAGAGTTTAGATGTTGAGTGTCCATGCAAGATAATGTTTGGTACTGACTGACACTAGAGAGCCACATGACTTGAACATATGCAGAGTGAATTTATTAATAGCTAAGAACAAGAGGTTCCTAGTTCATCGTATATACTGAAGAGTTATTTTAAAGCAGTGTTTTAATCTTGCAAATACATTTGCTGCTAACTAAAACGTAGGGAATTGCACTATATAAGTAATCAAAGCATTCTTTGTTTACCAGGTACTGCAGCAACAATGTTGATCAGCGTCAGAATGTAGATTGCATGGACTACAACCTACACGAGCTTTATGCAACTGACACATTGCAAGCACTAAAAACGTCATCTAACGGGGCATGGTCTCCGGTTCCTTCATCTTTCCGAGCATACAACAGTTTCTTCCCTTTAAAGACAAACATTCCTCCCTGGAAGAAAGATACAAGGGTCAAGTTACATTCCCTGTTTTGCCCGGCCAATAATAAGATCTTTCATTAGGGTAAACGTATAAATTCATAATCAACCTGTTGCAAAACACTACTTCTGTCGTTAGGTGTAGCTTGAATTGTATAGTTCTCCATAGCCATTTTCAGGGATTCAAACCTTGAGAAAACCTTTGTCTGTCAGATTAAAACCAAGTGAATTATTGATTAAAAACATGATTTAACTTGGGGGTAAGCAATATTTCTGGAAAAATGGTTGAAATATTATACACTGGCAGGATTGAAGAATGTCCGACCAAGACCATAGTACAACCCCAATAAATCATATGCCTGTAATAACAAGCATTTAAATAAGTATCTGTATTGAGAAACTAGCAGTAAACTCAGCAAATGATAATTAATGACAAAGAAGAATTTACCCTGCGTTCAGGATCAGCATATAGGCACTCCATAGGAAACGGTAACTGAATATATAAATGATAGCGTATGAGTCTAAATGAAATAAGGCATTGAATCAAATGACCTAAACCGGAAGATCAGAAAGGTTAATAAGCAACAATCAATATAACAGGGTGGAAATTCTCCAATCAGTTAAATGAAACTCATTAACTTCAACACCACCATGAGCAGAGAACACCATCATGAAGAACTGGTAAAGTAAAATGTAAATTTGATAATAGGATTCATTGGGACATTTTATCAAACAGTTAGTGTGCATTCACTTGATTTTGCTTAAATTCAGATGAAATTAAGCACAAATTAGTGAAATACAAATACCAAATTTCGAAAATAGAATAGAAATGAATCCGCCAAATTTCGAGCAGAAATTATCAGAATCGAGCCTTAAATTTCTGCAAATAAAAGAAAAAAAAAAGAATTGAGCCTTAAATTGAAAAAAAAATTCAAAGAGAAGGAATTATAACGTTGAATTGAAATCATTATCAAATTATACCTAATTCAAGCACAATAAACTTCAAACATTATCAAATTTTATAAATCCAGATAAACAGAACCCTAAATTGACAAAAACAATTAACGATAAAACCAATGAAAATGAAATTCGTGTTTAAATTTTTTTTTTTAAAATAAAGAAAAAAACAAACATCTTACCTCAAAAGCTGCTTCATTGGAGTAGAGAAAGCTCGAAAGCCGCTTCAATGGAGAATTCAGAGGACTCGTTGCAATGGAGGAGAGAGAAAATGCTTGAGGAGAGAGAAAATCGTGGAGGAGAGGAGAGAGAAACTCATGAAAGTGAAAATCGCTAATTTATTTTGGGCCGTTAGATCGCGCGCTTTTGGTGTTAGATCTGACGATCCAGATTAGTTTCTAGTTCCTATTATAGAATTGGTTCTCATTATAACCTGGTCCTATATGTGTGTGTGTGTGTGGATTAACAAGTCAAGTAAAGAGAACAAGTACATACATTTTGAAAAGTGAGTTAGTGCACAAAAGAATTTCAAATTTAACTTCAAAATGAATAGTGGAAGAACTAAAAAATGGAAGTGGAACAGAGGTGGCGAAAATGATTTGGCGCCAATAAAGCCAAAAGCCTTTTATTGGCGCCAAAACCCCAAGCATTTCCGGGTAATCCTTTTTTTTATATAAACATGACTTTATCCGCCGGTGATGGTCTTGCCCTTCGCTAGTGGCAGTTTGTTGACTAGAGAGAATGTTAGAGTGACTTAGAGGGTGGAAAATCATGGAGTATACATAAGGATAAGTTTGACAATTCAATAAAAAATGCGAACGTTACTTAGTAAAGAGAAAATACACGTTTATCTTTGTGAGCATCTACAATGTGTTACTTACCCTCCTTACAACACTCTCTCTCCTATATTGAGCTAGCTCATCATTATCATAGGTTACTCGTGAAGAGCTTTTGTGGTGAGGCTCCTCCCTCTTCCAAGTCGCTGACAGTCTTGGCACACAAACACAGTGACAAGCAAAAAATGACAAGTGGCAAAAAAAATTTGAATTTGCATTTTCATTTAATATTTTTCCCAAATTAGCATAAAACAATTTATTTAATTGTAGTGAGTCGACTTACCATTGTGGTAAAAATAAGAGGGTGACTCAAACTAGTAGAATATGACGTGGAAGAGTTAAAAGATGAGAGAGAAATTATATGTTATTATGACTTTGTGAGCTACTCCACCAATGTAGATGCTCTAAGATACACAAATATTGTTTATTACATGTCATATTCGTAAATAAATTAGTAACTTATTTCTTAAAAGCGTGTCCAAAGTGATGATGACCGAAGTCATTGATTTATTTACCAAAATGTCATGTGATAACTAATTCTTGTTTAACATATAAATTAACATGGGTTCCTCCCTGGTAAAACGTTGGCATCGTTTAGTACCCTAACTCCTAGATATTTTGGGAGGGGAATTAGAACACAAGAAAATACACGTTGATCTTCTTGATAAGTAAGAAAAATGGTTATTGTTTCGGGGTTTTCTGATGTCCTGCGGGAGAGTTTCAATTCCGAGACTGGAACCGGACGCCTGTACCTGCAAAATAACGGAGACTCCTGAGAGCTCCGCCTCCAACGGTCAAGTTAGTACCTGATTAAGGAGTAATTAATACAGAAATTAAAGTAATAAGATCTCTCTAGGTGAGAGTGTTTAATGTAGGTAATCTGCTTTGTTAGCGAGATTAGCCGGTTATTAGTGTTCCGTAATGTTTCTGTTCTTCTCTGTTCTTCAGGTGAGATTAATTGCTTGATCAATTCCTCAATTGCTTGATCCCCTTTAATGAGGATTAATTAAGTATTTATAGTCTTGAGAAGCGTGCCACTCTCTAGGTTTAGGGTAAACCTAGGGCTGACCGGGCCTCTAGACAGGATTGGGCCTTGTTGGCCGGTTTTCCCATTTGGCATGGGTGGACACGTGGCGTGCCTCGATTGGTCCGTAGAGGACGTATCTGTGATTGACACGTGGCAGGCTCCTATTGGCCTACGTGAAGGACACGTGGCGGAACCTGGTTGGTCCACTTGTCAGACGATGATTGGTGGATAAAAATCCCCTAATCATTTGCCCCTCACAGGTGGCACGCGACTGGTCACGTGTCGCCTGTGACAGGTGTCGCACGGTGACAGGCGACGGCCTGCTACAGGTGTCACCTTGCAAACAGCCGAGAGATTTTCCCGCCCAAATTTTTAATTTGGAAGCGACCCTTCGCCTTCTCACTTTGCCTATATAAGGAAGTGCTGACTTCTGTCATTTTCACATTTGAGAACTTTGCGAGAACATTCGGACCCCTGAACTTGCTCTGACATTTCGGACCTTTTCTGCCTACCGCCTGTTCTGACAAGCCGACTGCACCGGATTTCCAGAACTTCATCAACCGTCACTCGTTCAGGTAACTCAGTTCTCTTACTCTTAATTTTCTTTTTGTTTTTTGAAATGGCACCACGGAAGCACACGACACGACCTAAGTTAGTGATCAGCCGGTCACCGGGGACGGCTGAATCTAGGACTAGGAGTGCCGCCTGCCCTTTTCTGGACCCATCTTTGCCCTTTATACAAAGTCCGACTGTATCTGTGTCTATGCAGAACGTGATGGCCAGAACAAAAAAGACTGCTATGATCTCAAACTCGGACGGCTCCTCCCAAAGGGTGCTCATTAGTGAAACATCTGACCAGGCGCCAGATGTAGAAGTGAAACGAGGCGGCTGCCAAGCCGACAGTTCTGAGAGAGGGGCCAAGGTGGTCCCTTCCCATTTTACCGTTGATATGTCTAATTTTCCTCCTGCTCCTTCTAAGGGAGAGGAGGCGGGCCCCTCTGGGAGAGGGGAGGAGTCGTCCTCTTCGGACTCGTCAGAGGACGAGTCCGAGTCCAGCTCTTCTGGCCACACTTCTCCAGGCTCAGAAGAAAGAAACAGTCGCCTACAAGAGGCGAGGCTTTCTCATGCAGTTGAGAAGGGGGACGATTGGGCGGAGCCGTCCGCCTCTTTCAGAGAGGAAAACACCCCTTACTACTGCACGGTACCCCGGGGCCGGATCGCAACCATGCAAGACAAAGTGGAGAGCTTTATAGCTAACCACAGAATGGGCCCGGAATTTTTACTGTTCGTGCCGGATCCAGAAGACACTGTCGTCTGGCCGGCTGGTACCAGCTATGATGACGGCTGCTTTGGCTGCTATGTGGCGGCCATCAAAGCTGGACTGCGCTTCCCATTACATCCGGCTGTTCAGCGGATTTTAGATGGGTATGATTTGGGGTTATGGCAGTTAGCCCCCAACTCTTGGGTAAACGTACTCGGCTATGTGGCCGGGTGCGAAATGTACGGGGTGGAGCCAAGCTTTGAGGCTTTCGCCCACATGAACTATCTCAGCCGGACCCCTAAGTCGGGAGGTACCGGCTGGTATCAATTAACAAGCCATAGGGGTTACCTCATGACGAGAGGTAAGGCAAACAAATGGAAGGATTGGCGGAACACCTTCCTTATCATCGAGGGTTCAGACACGGAGCTGAACCAACGCTTTAACAAGTGGAATAGGGATCCGCCTCTTCTCGCAGGCGGCCGCAGCATGCCACCTGTTCCCCCAAAGGCTAAAAAAGAGATCCTAGACAAAGGACTCTTCAAAGTAGAGACTAGGGTGAACTCTACTTCAGGGGTACGAGAGCAAGTACCCCTAAACTGCGTCCCGAGCTTCAAGTGGCTCTATGACGAGTACTTTTTGGCCTCCTGTGGCCTCAGCAGTCGGTGCTCTAGAGGTAGCCGGCCTGTCAAATACTCTGTTTTTTCACACTTTGTTTACTTGGGATTTTACTAACTTTGCTGTTTATTTTTTGTAGCTGACGCCATGAGTAAAATAACAGCATCCAAGACTGCGGCGGCCATGTTGCGGGCCTCTCTCATGCAACAGTCTTGTACCGACTCCCCCAACAAGGGGGCACCCTTGGTAGGCTTCGAAAACACTTCCTCTTTTAAGAGTTGTCTTATGCATATACTAACTCTTTTTATTTTCAGTCGGGCACTCCAAGAGCTTCTTCCTCGCAACAGCCGGACCCCAAGGCCCGGAGGACGACTGTTGCAAGCTCTCCTGGGTCTTCCAGGAAAACAGTGGCGGCTGAGAAGCAGCCGGCCACTTCTTCTAAAACCCCGGCGGGGCCGCCTAGAAGTATGGACAATTACTTGTAAAAACTTTCACACTTGCTTCCTTCTTGACTAGGTCTAACTTGCTTTTTTACGCTTGATGCAGCCGGCCCTCAGGGGCTTGACTTGGTTGAGGTAGCCAAGTCCATGATCAAAGTAGTTCCTCCATCTGAAAGGGAGGCGGTCAGGGGTGCCGGCACCCTTGACCTTGATGGGATTGCAGGGGTCCTTGCTGAGGTATACTTTTTTGAGTATTTGAATTCCAGGACGCCTGTTATCTTTTTTGTTTGGAAACTGACGCCTGTTTTCTTTTTGTACTTAGGCCCTGCTCCGAGTTAACAGCCT